CAAAATCAAACAAAATTCCTCCTAGTTAAATATCCAAACTAGGGAGCTTAAACCAAATCAGTGCGCAAAGCGCAGTGGAATCCTCCTCCATAATTAGAAGTGATCGATGAGCGGTTCCATCTTGCTCCGCTCTCCATAGATGACAAAAACAAATTTTAGGAAACAACAATAAAAGTAGTTTTATAAGAACCATATAACGTCCCAAAGCCGACAGCTGTCTTCGTAATAAGTAGTAGTACAGCCGTTTGATATTCAGTGCTCTTTTTGTATTACTATTTGCTCTAACAAACGTGAAGATCGATGTGGCGTAACGAAATTTTTGCAGTTTTGAAGACTTAAACTGACTTTTGATCGCTTAGTTTTATTGTCCCTAGGTGACTGTAATCTCACCCTGTCCTCCAGAGATCCGACGAATTGAAACATTCATTCACTCTTCGGACAGCTCTCTTTCCTTTCACCGCCCTGCTGCTGAAAGTGTCGCTTCAACTCGACTCAATATATGGCACTTTGATGACGATCCCTCGGAAGACCTTCAGGATCCTCACTATCCTCCAACCCTGAGTTCCGTCCCACAGATGTCCAAGCATTCAGCTCCTTCAGCGCTTACGTCGTCAGTATCTTGTAAAAAATCAAAGAAACATTTTCATCTCAAGGGAAAGTCGATTCAGACAAAAACCCAAACTGATTCTGCAGAGTCGCAAGTGTAATTGTTGTCCTCTTGTATCCCATTCCTCCTATACTGCTAAATGTATATATCATATGTAAGTACAATTAATTTTAATAGGGTTTTTTCGCTATTTCTTGGCTTTGTGCTTGAACTTTGCCGTTATTCCTAATTCAACGAGCAGTCAAACTCACTGATGAATAGGTCAAAGCGGAAACAACCTTGGAGACAAAGTAAACGGGCAATGTCAAGGTCTTCTAGCTTGTTGTTACATCATGCTTTTTTTCCACATTAACTAAAAGCCTTGTTTTGTTAAGAAATTATTTAAAAATCAGCACCCTGGAATAGTTACAGATCCTTTCTTTATAGCACATCTTCCTGACGAGGATAAACGAAAGGATTTAAACAATGCCCATTGCAGATTTCCTTCGGAGATCTAATTTTCTAACAGCCTATGCCTTTAAGCGTTCCCAAACTTTCTGCTATTGCCTTAAGGGTGAGAACATTTCGTTACATACTAAATGGAGAGTTAACATAAGTTTAAAATAAAAATTAATGATTAATTTGGCATAACTGTCCCCACCTTTGATATCTTGCGCAAAAACCAATTCTCAAAGCCGTGACTAAAGGAATGATCTCAGCATAATTTCTCCTTGTTAGAAAAGAAGCGATTTTTCCACATGTGAAGCAATCACGCCAAATCTTAGCCGTAACAATCAAGTTTACTTACGTTATGGAAACACATAGCAACGCTTAACATTATGAAAGAGGCAACTGCTAGACTCCTAAAATTGAAAAGCGCTACTTTTGATTCTCTTGTTAGTGCATAGATGGAGTAATTTTAGACCTGAATTGGTATGGAACCCCAAACTACTCTACTTCTTCTGCTCATAATGTGATAAAATTGTTTTTTTTCCGATTTTTATAAGAACAAAAGAAAATATTGGCTTACCGGATGTGTGAGTCATGGGCATGAACAGGTAGCCGTCCTGACAACGGGAGGCATCACTGGCAGAGACCACAAAATCCTTCCTAATTAAGTAAAATGGTTAAAAGGACCGTTGATGCTACGGTCCTGCACAGGGAGCCAATCACAAAAAAAACTTCGACACAAATAAATACCTGGTGATTTTGCACATTTCATAAGACTAATGAGGTATATTTTGGCGTTCGAAAAATAACTTGATGCATTGCAAAGCACAATTTCCTTAGTCAGAAAGGTTATTAGTTTACCTTAACCCCGTACCTTGTTATTTACAAGTAGTGAGAAATGTCTCCTGAAAAAAACCATTTTCAATACAATTGGCACTTAATGCCATAAATCTGTCCCAAAAGTTGACACGTGTTACAGCAAGTAAAGTTTCGTTTTGCACTCTGAACTCTATTTAAAAAGGCAAACTCAGTAAAATTTGGAATTAAAAAACCGTACTTAGGATCATAAACGTGCAGGGCTCCGAAACCTCCATAAGGGCGAAAGAAGACAGTATTCGGGTGGGAATGGGACTTGCTACCCAATCTGTGGCACTACGCTGGTAAAAGCGAGGGACCGCAGTCAGTCGAATGGTCCTTTGCCGTTCGGACCGTACAAAAATACCGACCTTCCTTCTTTATGCTAAGGATATGCATCTCACTCAAGTATGAATAAGTGACAATTCTATATTGGTGGCAGCAGCAGCAAACTTGACTTTGGAACGACTTCTTTTAGGAGTTAGGCAATGCTAGTAAAGCCCACGTGCCATGGACAGGAAAACCGATTATTTCTCCTTAACGGAGGGGTTGATAATAGCGTCTGCTTTGGGCTCTATCTTTCTACCTAATTAGGCGGGAAAGCTACACAAGAAATGCAGTGACACTTGATGGTATTAATTTGGGTAAGTTTTATTTCGGAGACACTCCTGCTGCAACTGCCGAAGCATGTTGGGAATAAGGGCATGTTCAAAAAAGCTATTTATACGGAACTGCGCTGATTTTGTCAATTCTTATACAACTTTCGGTTTCAGACAAGTTTTTCAATGCCTACGCAGGAACAGACATGATGAAATGTAGGTCTCAAGCTGAGTTTTGTTTTCAAACCGAACGAAACCCCAGACCAATTTGTTTGCTAAAAAGGAACAGAGGCGTTGGAAACAGGCATCTCTCCGTAACCGTAGAGGAGTTGGCGATTGCGATAACTGGATAATGAATGTCTTCTTGCAGCACCGATTGTTTTGCAACGACTGACGACATAGACGTCGTGCTAAAGAAAAAAGTGGCAATTGATATTTTTGTTTGATTTATTGCTTATATTGGCTATAAGCCCTAGGTGGGTTTGACTCTGATCCATGCACCTGCCGCCCCTTTCCTGAATATACTCTTTCCACCTAGATATAAAGTCTTCTTATTTATTTAATGAGGCCTTGGGATACCGTTAGCAATTGCTCTAAATCCCTGCCAGATGTCGTTACCTGGACGAGCTTTGAGGTATCATGCATGCAGTTTGAAGTGCGTAGATCTATTTTTGAAAAATCGACAAATGACATGCATTAGATGTTGGAAGTTGCTGGAAAATTCATCCATAATAAGGACAATCAAAAGTAATCAATATTACATAATCAGTTAAAAATTGCATCTTATTTTAAAGTTCTTTTAACTGCGCATGGGGTTATGGATTTGGAAAATAATGTCTGTATTATTTTAAGTTGCATTCAAATGGAGGGTGTTGTGAACGTCTCAAGGTGAATGTGGGTAAAGTGCCGTTGTGACTGCTCTGTTCTAGTTCGAAGTTGTTTTCTGTTTCATCAAGCTTGTTTCTTTTTTCATACTCGCTGCTCTATGATAAAACTGCAATGCCTCCCCTATTCCATCCTCGTTTGTGAAGAAAGCATGCCTACGAAGCTCAGATTTGTAGATCGCAACCACTGTACATATTCGCCCCATTTTATGACCGTTTCAAAGTTAATCCATGCGCACGCTTTGGACGCATATGAAGTATGTCTCAGCCTTTGCAGGGTTGATACATGCGATAGGAGGAAATAGGACGTATAGCTTTGTGATGTAGTCGTCCCAAACGACTCTTTTAGCTTTTGGATGGTGTGAACTGTTTTCCATGCAGTTCCACTTAGTGTCGTGATTTGATGCCTGTAGCTTGTTTGAATTATGCCACTTCTATAAACGTTGTGTGGGTAGTAAGAAGTATGGCCTCAAATTAGACGTCTGAGTCAAGTACCCGACTACTCTACGTTTAGAACTGTAAGCTAGTCTGAGGTGCTTACTGGTCGGATTTGTTTCTCCTTCCAAGAGTGGGCCCTGCGTATGCTTATATTTTTGTTACTATTTCTGAATTTCTTGAATAGTGTTGTTTTTATTCTTGTAGATGGGAAGTATGCTTCGATTTAAGTACCTTCTCCCGCTCGTTTCTCTACTTCTGGTGACACTGTATATATACTTTTTTCTGGCTGTTCAAAATAAGCCGAATAATTGCGGACCTTTCTTGCTTCCAAGCTCTGGATTGACAGATTCTTCGACTCACCGCCGAAATTTAAATCTGTCGTACGTCATAGACTCATATATAGTAATCCTTGGACCTGCTTATTATTATGATATCGCGCGTTTATATGCTATTAGTCATTAAGACTGTTGTACTGCATTACATGTTGTTACTTTGGCTTTCTCGCATCGATTGGTCTGGAGAAAGTGCATTACAAGGCAGGTTTCTCTGCTAGTAGCAAAAGTTTTTCCAATTTTTAGGTGATTGGTCACAATACGGGTCGAGTGACTTGAAATTCGCATGTTTTTTACACTGCACAATACCTTATTTTTTTATTATTTTTAGCTCTCGAAGCCGTCCCTTATTTCCAAACATTCTATTTAACAGCTTAAGATGGTGCCAACGGAGTCTGCACCAACCCATTTCATATGACATGATTCGTCACCGGTTGATTTTAAACCCACATATTCTTTGTTTGACACATATTTTCTACATTTTAGTACTCCGAAGGAAAGGTTTCAGATAAGAGAAGGTAGGTTTCCTTTTAACTCATGTCTATACTTCTGAAGTATTTATCACTTTTCATGCTACTGCAATTTTTAATAAACAACGTTTGCAAATTTGCTCGGATCGTCGATGGATTATTTTCTTTGCTTGGCTTAAGAGTCTACTTATGCCCGTCGCTGTATCGTCCAACTCTCTATTCTTTCTTGCTCTCTATTAATCGGTGTCAGTTTCGCTAGATGAATTTTGCTTGTTTTGTCTGGTGAAGGCCTTTGGAGCCCTCCCATACTTCTTAAACGCCATGCCTTCCGGGACACTTCGAACGTCAGCATTGATTTTATGGGTACGAGTTATTTTACACTTATAACATTATCCTTATTTTATATTTTCCATAATTTTATTAGGTTTTGACTTTCGAACTCAAAACGTATTTGTGACCTATGGAACTTGGATTTAATGAGTCAGCGAGGAATCCTTAGCGTGTTCCGCTTATGACATCAGGTCATTGTCAGTAAATTAATATGCAATGTTAAGACCAAGAAAATTATTTGAAGGGATTTTGTTATATGGTCCTGCTCTTTGTATCCTCGAACGGCTTCATTGACGTGATGGCCCTACTTCTGTTCGTTTACCCAGTTTTATTTCTCAACTCAACCGCCTTATTATTTGCGCTCCTTTATTTGACAGTGAAGGAGTCGCTACTTGCTACTTACTACTTACTTTGTGTTCAGATGTGCTTTCGCGACCAGTACTTAATTGGTTCCTATGTTTCTTCAGATGCACCTGCTTGTTACTAGGATAGAAACAAGTAAAATCAGTATGTCTTACATGGAACTTACGTAGTTCAACCATGGGCATGAGGCTCACTTCAGTGTAATCAAGAAATCAAATTTGTCTCAATTTATGTTTATCGTTGAGATATGTTGAACACTCAGTCAAAGTGTTTTGTTGATTCTGGCAAAACTTTACAAGTCTTATCAAGTCAGGGTGGTTTGCTGCAATCACTCTTCTTGATAACACATCTTACCCTTGAATTTTCTCCATTTGGGGTCAAATTGCAATCTCCTATTGTTTATGTTTCTCTTGTTTTCTACGCTTGTGCGCCTTTGCGACACTGGTGGTGAAAATTTAACTTCACATTGTGGGTTTTCTGTGCAATTTGCACCAATTGTTCTTGTTTGTTGGCCGTATAATGTAGCACATAATAGACCCTTTAGATGGCTCGATTTAATGGAGTATCAAATTTCATGGACCGGCCTCATCAAGGACTTATTTGATATACATTTCAATGTATTGTTATACTCATTGCAATTGGATTTGGCTTTTTGAAGTAGTTTTTTCTTGTCTATTTTAGCATCTTTGCTCGGTCCCAGCCATCACATTCTCCAACGACGGGCGATTCGACTGACGCGTGAGTCGCGCTATCTGGTACAGTCACGACTTCGGCAGTGGCGTGAGAAGACACCTCCTGTGGATACGTTCGTCAAGCAGGTGGATGAGCTTCTTTCTGTTTTCTCTGGCCTTACTGATTTGTTGGAGGTGAATGTGGATGGCCTGGCACGCGTCGAGGGTGCTGCAAACGCTCAACGAATTGCTCTCCAACGGCTATCCGACGCGTTCAATGCCAAACTTCATGAACTACAAGTTGGTGCCATTGCTCTTAATTACTAGCATCAAACCAATTTTACAACTTGTCGGATTACTTATGCATCTAATCACTGAATTTTCAACCGTATTACCATTGAACATAGGGACCAAGAGCTGTAGGGTTCGTCGTACGAAACTCCTTCGCAGTAAAACATTTTGTCCCCCCACTTTCTTCTGTCTGATCCTACCTTTATTCACTAATGTGTTGTATCGTTCTTATGTACCTGAAATTGTCATTTTTTTCATAAATTATGTGGTGTTTTAAGCATGGAATAGTCATTCTCATAAATATAAAGCCTGAAATTACTGTTATTTTTTTTGTATGACGTGATTACCTTCGTACTCTTATTTTCAGAATCCTTTAGATTGTAGCGAAGCGAAGCATTTGGTTGTTGATATCAATAAAGCGTGTGGATTTGGCTGCCAATTACACCATGCAGCGCACTGCTTTCGGCTCGCCATAGCATCTGGTCGAGTTCTGCATTTGATCAACGGCACATATTCTTACTCTAAGAGTGGTTACTCTTCTGTCTTTAAATCTCCCACCTCGTGCTCTCTCCCTGAGGCTGTCACCAAAGCGCACACAATTACGTGGGGCTGTAAGTAACTCTTAATGCTTTTTTTTCATTCTCTTTTCTGCAAAGTGACGAAGACGGGTACTCGCGTAAAAGCTATTCCACCTCATGCAGTTTGATCTTTTGGGTGAAAAACAAAACACTTGAACGTCATTTTTTTGCTGTTGACATTCTATCAGTTCATCCTTACCCGTACTGAGAATGTGTAAAGTTCCTGTTTTAATGAGATTCTGAGCTGATCTTTTGAACTAATAGCTCTCATGCTCCCTCTGTCTTCGAGGAGACATGAAATGTGCTATCTGTAGTAGTCCTTCGTTATCCGTAGCACCAACTTCTGGGCTTGGGTCATTCATTCCGCTACTCAATGCATTGCTATTCTGAACATAATTGTAAGCATTATCTAATCTGCCAATCGCCCCTACTTTCAGCTCCTGGTTATGGGGATGCAACTTACGTCTACTGTCCCATCGTGGAACATATGCACGAGATTCCTAGGTATGCCCACCCAGCAGTTCCCAAATCAATCGCTGATGCGTTGGCCCACCTCCATGGTGCCCCACCCGTATGGGTCTCGGGTCACCTTCTGGCCTACCTCATGCGTCTTCGCACCGGTGAGATTTCTGAATCCGTTGAAAGACTCATCCAAAGCATAAGAGGTACACCCGACTACGCCCCTATCGTAGGGGTCCACATAAGACGGACAGACAAGGTAGAGTTTTCGGCTTGTGTCTCCTTCCAGACTTCTTATGATTATTTGCATTCATTTATGAATTCAGTGTTTGCGACAGAATCATTTTCATCTTATCCAGTTGTTAATGGTAGTTTGCTGATCCAACTCTGAACTCCCTCATACGCATAACGTCACTCTAAAGATACTGGCCCTTATTTTTTTGGTGAATCTGTGTCTTAGGGTATAAATAATGACTGTTGTGTTGATAGCGCACCTTTAAGCACTGACTTGGGTTCCCAGTAGCTTGGGGTATTCCTTAACTACGCACAAGCTGGCGTTCACGCTACCAGTTCATATATTTGAACTTGGTGTTTTCAGCGGTTGCTTATAAGACATCCGCTTTACTTGCCTTAGGTTTGTCTGAGCTTAACATTCAAGTACCATAGTTGTAGGTGGAGGTTCGGACTTTTTTTAGCATTTCTTAATGCATGAGTACCTAAATCCGTAATACTTTACGACTTCGTGGCTGCTAGCCAAATTTCTGATCCATTTGTTAATGGATTGACAACCCAAATGGAAAGCAGTGTATGTATCTGTTTGAATCACTTTTTGGGGAATGCCTTACTGGCGTAATTTGCTCACCTTTGCTCACTAATGAAATAATTTATGCTTTCCGATGGGCATATTATACTCTGAAATGCTAGGGATAGCTGGAAAATTGTGCTTTAATTTCTTGTTAATCCATGGTTATTCAATTGGAGGACGTAATTGGATAGCATCATCTGCAAACCAAGTATACGTTGACTTGATGAAACCTTTGGCACTATATTTGTCGGTGCCCCATCCTCTGCCTTAACTTCTTGTGTACAGCCAGGTCTGCTGTCACACCCATATCATCGAAGGAGAAACGGTCGCTATCTCACTTCTTCATCATTTAGATCAAAACGGAAGCCGCATTTCATAAACTGGAGGAGTACATGTACTACGTGGATCAATACTTTGATAAGCTCGATGCAGAGCGTATGATGCGAGCCAGGACGGAGGTAATTCACAACATCGTTTGCCGTGTATGGATATATCCTCCGGAAGTTGGTCTCATATAGTTATTCCTACATGCATACCTCACCACTGCTGACTAGTTTAAATTATTCTGGCCTTCACTTTACCTACAAAATACCCTCAGTAGTAGTATGGGCATAGCCAGACACACTGCAGTTTTTCAATGCTATCATCTGCGGCTCCATAACGGTTTTCATCCGACCTCAGCGAGGACTACTATTGACTATCAGAGGACCTTTTGTCATTTAGTGCAATAAATCGTGGTTTTGAATGTGCCCTTCGGCGCGCCGCCTAAATCGCACTGACTTCCAAAATTCTCTCTCGGTAGGAATGGTACGGCGACGACACCCCTCCACTGCCCTCACGTATCACAAGGCGTGTCTTCATCGCAACCGACGACGCGGAGGTGCTATCCGAAGCCCGGCGCCGATACTCCTCTATGCTGTCCTCCGATGGAGAGCCGCGCTACCAATTTATCGGAGACATCCAGCGCGCCCAATCCGCGTCGTTGTCCACCCGGTACACGCATGACTCTCTACTCGCTGTAGTAGCAGATGTTTTCGCGCTCTCTTACACGGACTACATCGTCTGTACATTTTCATCTCAGGTCAGGCACACCTTGTTCTCACTGTGCGTCAACCTCCATCCCTATTTTGACAGAACCCTCTATGGAAGGCTACCTTCTTGTACATGTGCATTCTTGTTTCCTGCAGATCTGTCGGCTTGCCTATGAATTGATGCAGACGCATTCTGCCCAACTTGGCGACGCATCCATGCGCGTCCAATCTCTGGACGACACCTACTACTATGGCGGTCAACAGCCCTGGAGTCAAGTAATCATAGTCGACGACAAAGACACAGGAATGACGGCCGGCGAAACGTTGGACTATCTGGGCAACCACTGGAACGGATATGCCAGGATAAGTCTTCCAAAAAATAAGGAAGAAGTCATACGTCCCGCCTACAAGTTTGAGAACCGCCTAATGGAAGTAGACTTTCCCGGACTTAACGCTTCATTCCATTAGTGGCGAACATTTGCATACGGCGTTTATCTGTGATTACAGTTACATTTTATATCTATGAGAATTTATCAACCCGACACTAGTTTATTGTTTGAGACCACGATTGGGGAACGTAAGGACTAACTTCCCGCTCAGAGAGAAACAGAGGACAATACGCCAGCATAATTGATGTGTCAATAAATTGACACAATTCGTCAGCGCAAGAAAGGCAGTGCAAGTTCCGGTATCCAGCGTTCACAACCTAATAAACGTAGAAGCAACACTTGAATATCTTGCTGTAGCAATTACTGGGCGTTCGTAGGAGGAAAATTCGTTAAGTAGCAAAAACGAATAATGGAAATGTGCTAAATATGGCCAATTACAGGAAAAGTAACAGAGGGGGAATGGCAGAACCAATCCAGTGTATTTAGTTTCTGGTGCCTAAATGATTGTTTCTTCGTTCCTTATGTACTCCCCAATATCGGCTTGGTGGAATGCTACAATTGTCATGGGGTCAGTATTCTTCATTTGGAGGATAGACTTGGCCGCAACACCAAAACCCAGAGGAATATCGTCGACGTTCATTACTATAACACCGGCATATTGAGGAGTGTCTTCTGATACTCGAGCCAAGCCGGATTTGACAACATGTTGCCCGTAGAGAAAGTGTTGTTCCGCCGATGGCTTCAACCATATACGATATTTCGCATAAGGCGTCAAATACGGTAAGGCGGTTATGTGAAGGCGGAATTGGCTGGTCTTCGAGAACTTTCCAAAGCAGGTTCCGAAGCTCAACAAACTCTTTCGCGCAAAGTTCTCCGCATGTCTGGCCAGATCATCTCTAGCAAAATTAAATAGACGGAGAAGATAAACCTGCAGTAAAAAACTCGACCTCGATGATAGTAGAAGCCGTATTTCCCATCCTCACGCTCAAGAAGTGGTTTGATGTCTTGAATGCTTCGCTAATTAAGAGGATAATCTAGTACTTACTATTTTGACAATTTATTCACCAACCCCTTGAACTCAGCCTCCTTCAGTTGCCGCATGTCCCAATAAAGCGCGTGAAATCATTGGAAGACGCGCCTAACTATAAAGTAAATTTTACTCAAGAATGTCTAGAGTTGAAACACACATATGAGTACATATATATATAT